CAATTTCTAAAACAAACTTCATATTTGGTCAATATTACTAATCTTTGACTTAAAAACCCTTAAGAAAGTCATCTACAATTATTGCTTCATAATGTTGACATTTGCATTGTTGTTTTATAAGTGAGACATTTTTATAAGTATTATAGTTAAGGTAGCGTCAATGATGACGTCGGCAGCGACCGTGTGAACGACTGGGACCGGTACCTGTCGACCTCGGCCGGTCAGTCCCTTGCCCCGATTTCGATAAACTTTTATTATTTTTTTTCGTAGATACCTGTTGAGAAACAATCACACGGGAAACGGTCGGCGATCTCGTTTTATAAAGCGTTAAGGAAATATTCATTGTTCGTGTGTAGGGTCAGTGTGAATGCATAAGGTTAAAAGGTATTCATTAGGAGGAATATCTAGTAAATTAATAGGAATTACATGCATGGGAAAATGTTCTATTTGTAAAAAAAAGTTTGAAATACAGACATTTTTTAAGCATTTTTTTTCCAAATTTGGCAAACAAAATTCTGTCGTATCTATCAATAAAAAGTACTTGATTATTAAAAAAAAACTTATTATATATCTATTATTTAAAAAATCAATTATACGGGATAATAGTCTAGTCTGTGACCAAGTATGGGAAAAAGAAACAGACACACAAAACCAAAAACGGGTCGGCTATGGTTATCCCAAATAAAAAATAAGAAGCGAAGGTCGTCTAGTCCCGGGGCGGGGGGTGAAGGGGATGCGTCTGGCCGCAGCGTTGCCAAGCGCATCGGTATCGGTACAACGTTGTTTTTATTGCTACGTTTATTTGTACTTTGTATTCATACACAATGTTGCTAACACATTTATGTAATGATCGTAACTGTCAGTTACTGTTTACATTTGTACGGCGTAAATAGACGAATCATTTAATAGCTAAGCAGAAAACACCATAAAAGAGACAAAAGGAAAATATACAGTGATAAAAAAGATTGCTATTTGACTGGATTGTTGATTGTGAGATTGTATGTTAAAAATCCGCGCCATGTTTCTTTAAGTAATGTTCTTGAATATTGGTTTGTATGTGTTCAATTCTTGAATAAGTAGATGATTGGTATGTTTCTCTAAATTCGACCCAAATACCAAGAAATATAATTGATGTATGTAAATATTAACCTTGTGTTGATATTCCTCCACTATGCAAAACTAGAAGGTTGCCAACAAAAACATCTCGAATACGTGCTCAGATCGATACGACTGATTGGCATTGATTTGCTTCCTTATAACCTCGTAAAAATAGACATTTTATTTATATAATTTTAAATAAACTAATGAGTAAGACTGTGCTATGCATATTTTAAACAATCGCTCCATTTAAAGGCGATTTGTATTAAAATATATACGTCAATAACCGACTGGTAACTTGACAAAGGTCGTATTGAGCGTGAAAGCGGTGCAAGGAAGCAGACGGAGAAGTGCAAGTGTACAAGTGAACTGGTTTGAGCAACTTGCCCGCCGCGCCGTAGACGCCCAGACAAAGCATATCCTTCGCTCTGCGACCGTCTCCCCTATTGTGTGTCGACGAGAGGGAGATCGTGCCTTGTGGGAGGATTGATCGCGCAAAATCAACATTAATAATTTTCATTAAACAATCTTTTTAAAAAGTGAAAATCATAAATGTAATTAATTATCATAAAAATTACAAATAACACAATCAAATAATAAAATTAAGATAATTGATTTTAAACAGTTTTTGAAAAATAAAATATAAAATGTTACGCCTAGCGCCAGCTATCGGCGTCGAAATTAAACATCGATTCGTCGTTAGTCTCGCCACTCGCTGCCAGATGGCGCTGTACTTCGACTTTGGTCGTTCGCTCTATTCTATCGCGAACGGTACATGTTGAATGAATGGTGAGCGGGCCTGTTTTTACGGCTCACTACGAGGCGCGTGGCGTACGCACTGATGTCAACGAACCCGTGTTTATTACGGCACGTTCTTACATTATAAAGCAAAGCAACAATTAGAGCTCGCCGTTTCGAGAACTTCACGATCGCTTCTGATTAGGGCTGGTACATTTACATACTAGAACCTAACTTTGTTATATTATCTGCAGGTGTTTGAGGCAAGGCCGCACGTTAACTCTTTGTTCGTATTTCAGAAATGAACTGCGGTTACGATTTTGTTTAAAAATAGATATTTATTTTATTTTATGAATAGTTATCATGAGAGTATTCTAATTCGAATTGTACTTGTACTTTTAAAGACCAGTAGATATTTTTTGTATTCATAATTAGTTATTATTCTTTATCAATTTTACCAAAAAGCAATTCCTTAGATTGTTTATAGAATTGTTGGATTGTTGATAATTTGATTCTTTTTACGTTTTAATCATTATTAAGTATCAATAACATCTTAATTCTAATTGATTATAAAAGGAGTCTCTTAGTCGGTAAACAAACATACAGGTAATTTGTGTGGGGGAGGGATCAGAGGCAGCGATCAGATCGGGTCTCTTTGTTCTCAGTGACCGACATATAGCGCGCTGTGGGTCGCTCATAATTTCGGCACCGATCCGCGCTGCAGGGCGCGAGGTCGTTGCCCTCGCCCGGCTCCGCAGCGCCTCTCCTCTCCTACAGCCTCTCCTTGCCGTAACAACTTTTACGGTCAACGAATGTATGTACGCAACGAGAGCGTAACCCACATTATTTTTTTTAACTGTCAGCTTAAAAGTTCACCGACCCCACGCCGCCTGTGTTTATTGAGAGCGTCCCACGACGGCCCCCCTCGCCCGCCTTTACGATTTCCTGTGCGGCCACACTGCATGTCACCGATCAGTCTTTGTTACATTATACCTACACATGAATTATTAATATCAAATATCTATTTGCGTACTACCGTCGATTGTAAACAAGATAACGCCCATATTTTTAAACGCTAAAATTCACTATAACTTTTAAAATACATAGTTCCGATTAATTTATAAGTTTTAATTTATTAATTATTGTTTACTATTTTGGTCTCAATATTAGTTTAACGATTCATAATAAACTTTATAAAAGTTTTACAGTTTGCAACATCCAAGTTTACAATGTAGTTCTGTTAGGATTATTTGCACTACCACAGTTTACAAAGAAGGTCGGGGTGAATGACTAGATTGTTGGCTATGATACTTGGCAATGTCTATCCTAGTACAAATATGTCCGTCACGTAACACTCGAGTCGTAAAATGATACGTGATAAGTGAACGGGATATGAATCAGTGGCGCGATATGAATCAGTCGCTTTGTGTGTTATCAAGTAAACATCTGCGAGACGACGGACTGTTAGGCGAGGAGGTCGGTCGCTGTTCCTCAGTCGCTGGTCGCCGGTCGCTTACTCGGAAACCGGGCGATGCGTCAGCATGTTTTGAAGCAGGCCCCGGCGATAGAGTCGTCGTCCGCAACACCGTTAGCTGCCGCCCGCCGCTGCCTGCCGACACTAGAACCTTCCCAAACGTAACGAACCGAAAGTAACTCGGTCACCGCCCCACACGACCATAAACACAAAATTTGAATTATAAAAATTTCCTTATTTGTGCAATAGTCGACGACAATCGACAATAAAAGTTGAATTGTGTCAATGTAACGTTAGAGCGGGCGAGGCGAGGCGGCGCGGCGAGTCGAGCGCGCGAGTCGTGTCGAAAAGTCTAGATGCGAGAACGACGCGACGCGACCTAAATCGCAGCGCTGTCGAAACTCCTCGAGGCCACATCATAAGCGTTTCCTCAGATACCAACACTTGCTCTACTCTTTATGTACCGATCTGAAATCTGACCGCGATAAATATTAATATTTCAAAACTTCTGATTCATTTTTAGTTTTTAATTTAATTACAACAATACCCGATTACTACGCGATCAAGTAAACCAAATAACAATGTCAAAGAAATGAATCATAAATTACCCTATATGTTTTGTCCGATTTCGTTACCAAATTAAGCACAATACAAGCTTTTAAAATGCAATCTCAAATCTGGGCCTGTTAAACGAAATCCGATCTAATTTCTTGCTCGAAGTCGATGAAGTCAAACGAAAACATATAATTAAACTTATATAAATTTATATTAAATGTAGATTTATTTGCTAATGTAAAATAATTTATATGGGCCGTTGATGATTCAGAGTGTGAGTAGTGCTGTGCCGTTAGTCAGTGGCCAATCAAATCGTGTCATCTCTACGTAGTGTCCGCAACCAACCTCGCTCAGCAAACATAAATTTTCTTAGCTTACAATTAAAAATCCTATAAAAAATTACTAACTGTAAAAATATCTTGTGTTGCTATAGGCAAAAAAACGAATGTTGCACATATGTAATCTACAAAAATCTATAAATCAAGACAATTCAATGCGTAATAATATGAATTAAATTTTAAATGCCTAATAAATTGAATTAAAATTATGCGTACAATAGTTTATTAGTACTACATTAGTAAATCATTAAAAAAATCTTAAGTGGTCTTACCCTCATTTTTAATTAATTCTTGACTCATACATACGATTAAAAAAAATGTATCTAGTTTCATTCAAATGATTGTATGAATAATTTAGAACTGATAAATAAGTAAAGAGCGCTTACGATCGTAATGACCCAGTAATATATGAATCACTTGCAATTGAATTTGGCCTGCAGATAATACTCGAGTACCGGCCACAAAATAAACTGAATACTTTTTAGAACTCAAAACGATGTAACCGTGTTATTTATTTACCGGCCGTTGACCCTATAAAATTATTCGACTAATTGACAAACCAAATAAACAAGTCATTAAATTATAATTTAGTTTAGATTTTCATTTTAAAATTCTGTTAATTATTAACTATATGTTATAGGCCATGAAAATTCATTTTTCTACATAAAATAACTAATGATTTAACATGTCATAACTTTGTGTTTCGTAATAAACGTATGGATAAGCTAGATAAGTATCTACGATATATCTTTCGATGCTTATGATCGTAACGAAAGAAGTGCGGCGAGGGGGGAGTAAGGTTTT